TATAGAAAATCAGATTCCATTGGAATAAATTACCTTTTACATATAATGCACCTCCTAACTTGAACAAAAGATATTATAATTATTACAGAGCTACGGTACAATAATGGATAATTTTACTGTGTATCAAAGGTGTAAAACTTGTACTTACAGAATTTGATGGACAATTTGATATCCAATAGCTGAGAAACTATCCATTGTTGAGCCTTGTATCTGACATCTTTAATTCATCATATTATAACTACATATGTAAAAATTACCATCATTTCACCCACTTTTCTATGTAATTAGTGAGAAGTCTTTATCCGGTTTGATTATGCATTCTGAAAAAATCTGCCATCTTTTGTTCACCATATTATAAGTTACATTATAAGTGTAAATTAACCGTTTCACCGAATCCAATTTTTCATAATTAATGGGAGATTCTTTCACGAAAGCATAAGAAGTGCAGAATGGGATATGTAATATATAAATTTATTATTTAAGCACGAAATTATTTAAGCACTAAAAATCCAGTTTGGAAAACTTCTTTTAAAGATGATTTATTTCTGATTTTTTGAATAAGAAGTCTATCATTTCATTGTTGTTTCAATTTAACAATATTTTTTATTTAATTTTCTATTTATCTTACAAAAATCATAACAAAATTTTATTTTTCGTTTATTTTGATGAAATTTTGACTAGTCAGTTTGAGAGATAGATTGATGATTAGTTGAAGATTGTAGATGAAAAAGGAAATCCTGTCAGGAAGCGTAGGCAGAATAACCAGATGTTGAAGGTAATTAAATCATAAATAAAAGACACGTTTCTCACGCCAACTTAATGGATTATAAACATTCACACACTCGTGTGTGTGTGAAGCATTTTTTTTTTAAATTAGAACTTTTCGTTATAAAATGAACGAAAAATTTACGAGAGCCTTTGTTTGTAAACGAAACAAATATTAGAACGTGATAATAGAACAGTAATTTGCAATATGTATTCTTGTATTTTTGCTATTATATTTTAATTATTTTATTAATAAAAAGAAAATTTATTTTTAATATATTTGAAAAATCAAAAAATTCAATTCAAAACTCAACGTTCCAACACGTACCAGATGTCGGGAATAATTAAATCGCTGTCACATAAGATTCCTGTTCTTCCCATCATTTTAGCGTAACTAAGTTCTCGTATTTCCATGGTCGAAGCAGGAAGAGGAAGGACATATCCCTTCGAGCGAGAAAAAAAACTGAGTTGATCCAACGAGGAACCGTCTTGTCATGTGGGTACAAAGTAATTTGATCTTCTGGACAGTTTTACAGCTTCTATCGATATTAATTATTAAAGTTGTTTTGATTTGTAGATTAAAAAGAACAAAAAAAAAACCAGACGAAGAAACAGCATTTTATTTATTAACAATATTTTTAATAAATATTTATTATACATCATAATATGTGCGTGCGTGCGTGCGTGTGTGTGTGTGTGTGTGTGTGTGTGTGTGTGTATATATATAACAATTATAAATGGATATTTTGTTAGATTTCCAAGAAGATGATGAGTTTCCAAGAAATGATATATTGATCAATGTATATATTCTTTGTATTCGTTATGAAACCTGCAATATCGTTTGAACTCACAAAGTTTCTTGACTATTGAGAAAACAATATCGTTACCACAATACCACGTATAAATCTTTCTGCTGCGTCCGATTGTAGGAGCGCGCAATTGCAATGCATATGCGTATGTACTTTAACGATAGGTTTCAAACGGAAAAAAGGGAAACTCAAAATAGCCGTTGTCAGATAGGAGTCTCGCAGACTCCTGGGAACGTAGTTCCCGCCAATTTCTTGACGGGTGCTCGAGGCGGTGTAACGGCCGTTGGTCCGAGATGCCTCGAAAGTGGCAGGTGCAACTCGGGCCAAACTTCATTAAACACAATCCCATCTGCGCCCTCATACTTCCAAGACGTCTCGTGGCCTCCGTAACTTTTTGAGGACGAGAGAAAAAGATAGGAAGAGAGAGAGAGAGAGAGAGAGAGAGAGAGAGAGAAAGAGAGAAGAGAGAAGAAAGGAGCCTTAGCAACTCCGGAACCTCCGGTTGGCGTATCTGTTCTTCGTCTCTCTTCCTTCTTCTTTTATCTTTGCTCGAAAAACAGACAGATTGACTTGTCCGACGCAATTGCTCGAAACTACACGCTCTGCGTGACAACAACTGAACCGTGACAGGTGTATGTTCTCGAGCAACGGAAAACCTAGTTAAAAGCTAGAAAAATACATTTATGAGAATACACTAACAAGTCACGTTTTAAACAATTTATATACATAAATTCTCAGTGCCTCCTCCGTTTATCAAAAATAATATTTTATTTATAGGTCGCTAAAAAATATTTTTATTACAATGCAGGACGAGTTGTTTTAACGTATTTCTCCTTTTTTACTTACATTTCAAGATAAAAAAGAGAGGTTACAGGCACGTGGTAATTTTGTATAGCAATTTCGGGATTTTTTCACTTCTGGCCAAGGTTTTGAAGATGACGAGCGTGCGTGTTTTCTTTCTGTATTAATAAAAATCATTGGGGTTTCTCGGGAAACTGACTGCGAAGCAAGTCAAGTCGCTCTGTCGGTTGAACACAAATTATTTCTCGGAAAGAAGAGAAGCTAAGCGCGCGTGGCTGATCCTTCTGGCACGCGTGCCTGGTCCTTTAGACCCTTGAAATTTATTGATTTTAGAATGTCTAGTCTGTCTACGAAAGAAAAAAGATCGGCAGCAGACAGCATTGTTCTCTTTATCACGTATTAGCATCAATTGAAAGTTAGTGACATGTATAACAATTATTAAGTTATTAATTACATATATAATATAAAAATATTATATATGTAATTATAATATAAAACTTAATATAAAATTTATTTTAGAGGTTTAACAAAATTATTTTTAGATCTGTATCAAGCTAAACTTTTTTACCTTAGCGAAACTGTTTTTTCTCCCTCTATTGAATCCTTTTAATTCATCTTTTAATTGCACTGGTAATTTTGATTATATATAATTATGATTATAATTAAAGATTACAAAAAAATTATTACCATTTCTTTTAGATTACATCAAGGTTGTTTTGTTTTGTTTTGTGAAACATTGTGTTTTTATAGCAATCTATCATTAGCTGAATATTTTACAGTCAGTGCAATAAAGAAAGTCGCGCTTGTTATTTCCTTTGAAAGCGGAGATTTCTTATATATTTTCTCTTATAAATCTTTGCGAAACAACGGTGACACTTTTCACAGCTTATCCTCTGCTCAGTGTCGTTACAGAGGTTCGGTTCAAACGAGGAGCGAGGAATAATAGGCTTTACAGGATCTTTAAATTTTAAAGGGATGCGGTGCCTGAACAGCTGACGCTGTCTAAGATGCTCAGGTATCTTTCCTAACAAATTCGGAATATTTTACAGGAGCGAGTCAAAAAAGTTAGAAAATATCAGGTGCAATAATTTGACGAGAAATATATTCCATGTTTTATTGTATAATATGTATAAATAATGCTATCGTCTTTCTTCTTTTTTCTCTAATTCTGTTACTTTTGTAATAATATAAATATTCTTTTTGTCATCATATTACATCAGCTTTAAGTAGCTATATTATCGTGTCAATTTACGATTTACTTTTAATATTTTTCGTAGTTCTCACGGTAATAGAAACGATGCCTCCCGTATATTTCCCGTGATAGTGGACATTCCTGTTGACCAATTAATAGGGATAATCGTAAATTTCGCTGACATCTGCTGTAAGCGATATGATATCCAGGTGTTAAACGAAGGGTGTGTCTGTAGTGTTTGATATTTTTTCTGCCGGAATCGGTTTGAAATACAATCTTTTTCCGGTACGCGTCATTGAGGGAGTAGGTGACATCGTAGATGACATTCTCGTCATTAGGTGAATACGTTGAATGCTCACTATGTAAATTCGTAAAATGTTAGAGAACAATGCAACATTTTATCTAGACAACATCGCATCGGTTTCGCTTCGAGAATTACTAGAATTGAAATCAATATTATGTGAGGAATGTATGCTTCGTAGAATCCCCCAGCTGATCAACGTTCACACGATTGCGCAGATGGTGCTGTAAATGTTACAGTTTATCACATAACGAGGTAATCGGGGTGGGCGTAACCGTAACGGATACAGGGGGCGATTGAACTATTTGTTAAGCCTAACTAATTAAAGAATGCTATGTTTCCCAGCGCCATACGCAATCTTTATTGCCACATCTCCCATGAATCGATTATCAATTCAATTCATACATTGAGAGAAATTTGGTTTTTTTTTGTGACCATAAATACATGGTAAAATAATTGTAGAACATAAGATTAGAAAATAATTAGAAATAATAATCATTTGTAACAAAGTTACAGTTAGAGTTACTATTTTTCAATAATTATAATTTAATTTTGTTTCTCTTTTTCTATTTATAACTGTGACTTAATTAAGTTGTACTTTTTGTATCTAATAGTAATTTAATAATTCTTTTACAGTTATTTTATATCACACTTATTCTTATCAACATATAGGTTTTGACCTTCAAACTGAAGTGTTCAGTGAATGATAAATTAGTAATTATTTCTTGTGATTAGAATATATCTTTATCTCTGTCATTAGTAAGTGGTGCGTATCATTTGAAACATCCTGTATATATGTTTGATATTATATATTTATTTGATGTATATGAATATAATTATTATTATTAATATTATGTAATAGTAATAATTATAAAAATGGAGCTCCTAATCATAATAATTTTATTTTGCAATTATAGTCACAAATACTAAACATTTCTTTCTCAATGTAGACATTAAACGATTTCTATTCTAAAAATATACAAAAATGGAATTTTGACTTAGGATTCTTATTCCTGTGACAAAAAAGGAAGAAAAGAAAAAACATAGCGCTAGTGCACCGATAACAGCACGTTATTAAGATAATAGAAATTTAATAGAAATATTTATTTGTAAATAAAAATAGATGTTTCTCTCTAATATTTTCTATTTATAAGATGTCTTTAATTTGTGATATATAATTTAATGTACATGTTACAATGCTACTGGAATGACATTGGAATTTCTAAATTCTAAGCTATTCGTTTGGTTTTTAAAATTATTTTCTCTAAAAACTAATGCCTGACAAACCTCCTGAAAATGTTCTTGGAATCATTCTTGGATTTTCTTTGTACATACCATAATGAATATAAGACATAAAGTATAATATTGAGAACGATACTAACAATTATTATACCAATGATTACGATGATTTTAATAACTGTCTTAGCAATGCAATTAGTCACTGAAATATTCAAAATATTTAACTAAAAACAATTAATAAAAGCAATTTTTAAATTAATACAATTAATAAAATCGTAAGACTTACTGTACCTGTTTTTCTACAATTATTGAAACACTCATTGAAGACAATTAAATAGATATCAGAAATATCAATATTTATCTTGTTCTCGACATTTATCATAGTGCTTATTTCGCATATAAATATTCCATCTTTTATCGCAGCGGAGAATAATCGATGCCTGGCCGTTGAGTTTCCTATCATTCTTTTTTCTGTCAAATATCGAGAAAATATTTTTTATTTAACGCATTTAAATGAAATAATGAGAAAAATACTCAATAATAAGTTAAACTAGATTATTTATGTAAATAACATAAATAAGTAGAGTCAAATATAGTCGAGATTAAATCTTGTTGCCTAATATAAGAACTGAAAAAATGTATTTAATAATTCACAAAGAAACATTATTATCACCAAGCTTCACTCTCAACTATATTTCTCGACGTTTCTCTATTTATGTGAGATAAACACTTTTATAATACAGGGTCCGGCAAAATGATCTCCCACATTTTAAAATTATTAAAGATTAAAATGTGGGAGATCATTTTGCCGGACCCTGTATTTCTAAATGAAAAAGATCAAAATAATAATTAAGTGGTTACACAAACAAGTATATCATATTATATGATGGTAAACAAGTATATTATATTATATTATATGATACGTTCCTATATACATTTTTGCAGAATAAAGTGCAATTCGATATATGAGAAATTATTACCATGCAAGTCGACGAAAATGGAATCAAGAAAAAACTTGCTATTATCATGGGAGTAATTAAAAGTAATTTTATTCTTTTTATTGTTGTAGCTTTTAACTGGTTCTTCCCAACTCAAAGTCATATTGGCTGTTTTTCCAACGCAAATACCTGTCGTCGTTGCGTCTGTTGGAACCGTCAACATGGATTCTAGTATCTAAAAAACGCAAATGCATTCTGTGACGCAGTAAAATAATGATTAGACACATATATTGTTGACGAAATGACCAATTAAAGAAAAATATAAATTGTTGTAATGAACATTTCTGAAAGGTATAAAAAGTCTGTGATATTTATTTTTATAAATTATATTATTATTTATTTACCTGAAAATCTTTCGTTGTGTATCGTAAATTTACATGAATCGTCATGTTTGCCAGAACGCACGCCACTCCTTTATCATCTCTAAGGATATAATTAAATATAGGAGTGGTCATTTTTGATATATTTTCTTCAGTCGTACTTGGGTCGGTTACATTGATATCACTATCAGTAAAGGTTGAATTTCTTGTTGTTGTTTCTTTCGTAATTGATAAAGAAGATCCCATTGAAGAAGACGAAAAAGACGTCGATGTTATCGTTTTCATAGTAAACGTCGTTTTTTCCGTTACATTTGTTTTAGATGTAATTGTCGTTGTATTTGTCGTTTTTGTTGTAACTGGCGGCATGGATGATAAAAACGTTGATGTAGTATTTGGTAATTGCGGTGGAGGTGTAAGTACCGTTAGATTAGTTACGAATGTCGTTGAAATTATCGGAAGTGTTATATTTTCTGTTGTAATTATTTCTGTAGCATCTATTGTAGTCGAATACGGAGATGCTGTCGTGGATGATGGATACGTTATGTTTGATACACATTGCGTTGTAGATTGCATTGGCATTGTTGTAGAACGCATGGATATCGTTGTAGATTGCGTTGAAGGAACTGTAATAATTCCATCTGTTGTACTTGTTTTAGATGTCAAATTCGGAGTCGGAGTCGGAATCGTTATTTTCGTCGTTGCTACATTCGATTCTGTTGTCACACTCGTGTTTCCTGTAAAAACTGGTATACGGTCTGTTTGCGAAATAGTTGTTTTTTCTGTAAAATTTTTCGAAATTGTGGACCGTAATGTAGTTGATATTGTGGTTGATACTGTCATTGAGCTCGTCGTTGTAGGAACTGTTGTATTATTTCTCTGTACGTTTTGATCCTCAAATGTGATATCTTTATTTGTCTGGATTGTGCATGCAACTGTTAAAACAAATGTTTTATTGATATTTACTAAAATAAAATGTTTATTGAGAGATCGCCAAAGTATTAGTCGCGAACCGATTTTTGATGAAAATTTAAATATATTAATTACATTTCGTTACTTTGTGTACTTGCACTCGCGTTTTTTCCAACTTTGTACATGTATGAAGTTGGATTTTTCAACAATGATCAAAATTAAAACTTATTATGGTAAAAAAATGGAGTTACCTAACTGTAGATCAATACAATTTCATTTGCGACTAACCAGATCACTATCCCGATCATTATTGCCTTAGATGATTTTTTCATGTTTTCTTTTATTTTCAATACTTTTTGAGTTAAGAACTCATCAGCATACACGCACCACTATATTATTATATTAATTATAATAATAGCATTTGATGAGAAATAAAATACGGAAAAGTTTTTAAAAAGAGCAACTGTTTAAAACATATTTTATCGAAATTTGAAATGAAATGTCTAAAGGATTTCCAACCCAAAGTATGAGATGCAAGTCGATTTTTGGTGGGTCGTGAAAAAATTTAGTATTATTAATTACACTTCGTTATTTCGCTCATCAACTTGTGTGCACGCGTGTTTTTTTTTTTTTTTTTACTTTGTACAAGTATAGAATTGGAGTTTCAATGTTGGTAAAAATTAAAAAAAAATTTCGAAATAAATACACAAAAGACGCAACTGTCACAAAAGAGAATATCAGTCCACTTGTTTTCTAAAAGAATAAAATTATCGCTCGTGCGACAAGGGTTAATATAGATAATAAAATATCCCTACCTTCGACAATACTGGAATTTCGATTGGGCTTATCATTTAGTTTTTGGCCAGACGGTCTGATAAAGATATCTCTAATATCCCTTTTCTCAGAACCAATCGATATGACGCGTCGTATATTATTCTGTAAGTATTATAATTAAACTCCCGATGATAATTTATAAAAATTTCTGTTCTTCATTAATTTCCTTCAAATTTCTGGATTCTGGATCTATAAGGTATAATCTTGATAAATTCAAAATAATTCAGAAATAAGCTTCTCGTTTAACTGCAGTCACATGCAATCAATATTTAAAAATGGATGTTGTACTTTCAATAACATTATATATTATTGCAGCGCATAATTTTACCGAATACATTATTCAATTTAATAAATGTGGCAAACGCACTATAATAACAATTAACAAATCACGCACGAATGCATCCCTTTCCGCTATATATTGCCTACACCATCGCACATTATTGTCTGGCTTTTCGTTTCCGCCGTATTATTATCTTCTTTGTTGGCGACTCATGCTGCGCTGCAATCGAAGCCAGCGAAACAAACCTGGTCTCCTTTTACCCTCCTATACGAGCCACCCCTTTTCTAATTTCTACTCGCGAGTGGTTGCGGTTTCAATTATTATCTCAACATGCAGCACGTGATAGTGGAAAAAGGTAGCGAGTATTGTCATGACGAAAAATCGCGCTCGACGTGGTCATGCGATACATCCGGTGGTCATTAATTACGCATTAAGCCACTAATCATTGATCCCGCTTACTAATGAAATACCATTATTCATTCAGCTGTCTAATTCGCGATTCGCTTGGATATTTTATCCATCAATTTCCTATATCGCTGAAACTACATTGCGTTCGATCTTGCTGTGTTGTGTTTTTCGTTTGTTGGGAAATATATTTTTTACAACGATCTTTCCTTTTCGTAAATTTAGATGTCGACACGGATAAACGATACAGCTTAACGTTAAAAAAAATTCCAAAAAATGGTATACGACGTTTCGAGTTTCGAAGCATCTGCTCGGTCACGAAACCCTTCGGTCTTTATCAAGCGATCTTTGCCTAACGAAATCATTGGGCAATTCTCTTTTTTCTCTGGTTAAACTGTGCTCAGCCGACGCGTTATCGTGATTAAGCTTCTTTAAGGATCTATTCACGTCGTCTAATTTATCGAAAATATACACCGAGGTGATACAAACACCGAAGCGGAGTATCGTAGATGTATTAGACGAGAACATCTGCTATGTTACGAAACCCTTCGATATTTATATCAATCGATCGTCATGTGGAAATTGTTAAAAATAACGTTAAAGAGACGGCCAGGCGCCCCCGCGGTGACACAACGTTGAGATTTCGATAGATCAAGAGATCGATTTTGTTCAATCGACCATCTGCCATGTCGAAGGGTTGTTTGTGCCAACCCCTTTCTTGGATCTCTTTGAACCTTTACGTGCGAGTGGTTATCCACAATACGCGGCGAAAGGTGCACTAACAATACAAACAATTGATTATTTCGATTGCTTCATTCGATTGCTTCACGAATATTTTGTGAATAATGCCGATTGTTGAAACACTTATTTAAAGTCATTATTATAATCTTTTGTACAATTCAAAATAATCTTAGAAATCTAACGATCAGGTCATATATTAATTTATTTTCGTCATGTGCGGTATTTTATAATTGAGCTTAGCATAATTTATGTAAATACGAGTAGAACAAAGAAATTCTCACCAAAACTTGTATTGACGTTTTCACCCCCTCGAGAGAGAGTTTCCCATAGAGGCACCCCCAACGATAAATAATGCATGTCGATTTGCTCCGCTTCGTGGCAATTTTACGCGAAGCGTGTGACTGCGAGACGAGACAACTGGACAAAGAAAGAATTTACATAAATTCCACTTTTACGTCCTAATTTTCTCGTCCTAATTCGATCGGCATTTTTAGAAATTGGCGCCATTAATGAATAAACGTTTTGAAATATTTTTACGAGAAAGAAATTGATATTGAAGGAAACTATAATTTTTGGAAGAGTTTGGAATAAATATGATTATTACACGACCTATTTCGTTAGTACTTTCGCAAGTATCCGGATATTCACAATACACAGAAAAGTGCATATTGCATTTAAATATTAATTACTTGTTTCAAGTATGTCAAAAGATAATAATTCATTGTGACTTTTCTTTGATCATTTAAAAAATTACTGTCTCATACAACGCATCAGAGTGCGTGCTAATTCGACACGCATCGCGGAGTGGCCAATTTTTATTCGACGCAGCATAATTTCGTGGGTATTAACTCGCACGTTAACTCAATTTCGCCACCCTTCCGTGATCGCGTTGGCGCGTCGCAGATTAACGTATACGGTCTGAGAGCCGATACGCAGCATGCGTATTGTGCGAAAATTTCGCGAGGGACACCTGCAAAGACGGACCTACGCAAACGGAGAGTCTACGCAAACGGTTCCACGCGTAAAATTTATGTTGCGTGAAGCAACCGTCATCGCAGAAGAGCATTTTTTTCCCTCCGTGAGAAACGGTTGCGACGCGACGGCGATCGTCCGTAACAGGTCAAAGCGTAAAAAGTTTTACGAGGTAATTGTAATATCCATAAACAACACGAAAGTACGCCAACGAGTGAGCATGCAACGAATTTTAGAAACGAATGTGTAACGCGTTGCACTATTACTATTATAAAAATTAACCCTTTACTGGTAACTTAGCGCGGCGACTAATAATATCGTTGAATCAGAATAGATGAAATTAACGAAAAATGAAATATGTTTCTATTTAATTAATTTAATGGTATTTTTAATGTATCTACATACAGATCAGAAAATAATTTTGTTAAACTAATTATGTATGTTATCAAAATAATTATGTAGGATGTTTAAGTTTGTTGAATAACGAACTTTTCTGCAGCATTATTCATTAAGCTTTTTCATTAAGAATTTTTATATTATTTTGAGTTTTTTAATTATCTTGATGACTTAACAAAATATTATTTTTATCTATATCTAGTTAAATTTGTTAATACTGCAACGTTTTTTTTGTGCAGTCATTCGCGAAATCGTTGCTTTATTATGTATTGCCGAGCAATTTTCATTATATGTTTCATAATCCCATATGACGTCATTCACCATTTCTGATACTTTCTACCACTCAATGAAAGTGCATCCGCGGCTTTTTAATTCCGAGACAAGCAGCAGTCGACGTTTATTAGGTATTTTATAAACATTAAAATTTCCGTTAACGCGTTTGCAGGAAATGGTCGACCGACAGAATCCTTTGAAGGTAATTTCCTTTCAAAAGCACCGACTTCCGGATTAAGAGTCCATCGCGACAAAATCGAAATCGAAGGGGTTGGGAAGACTGCGGAGAAAAAGAGGACACACATTTCCTGCCCTTTAATGGCTTTTAGGGCTTCCCATTAATTATGATATTAACTATAATTAAAAACGTACATTAATTATGATATTAATTAAACGTATTATTATATATAGTAATTAATCTTTATATAAGAAAAGAAAACCTTGAAAATAATTAAAATTTCAAGATAGCCTGAACTTTAAGATTTTAATTTATTGGTAAAGAGCGTATTTTTAATAATGTTATCTTATCAATTATTATTATCTTTCAGCAATTGCAATTTATTATATTACTTAATTTTATTTTGCCTAATTTATAATTATCAAAATAATTGTACATTTTGTCTGTTTTCTCCATAATAATGTTTTATCTTTCTCTTGATAGAATTGATTCGACTTATCGTATTCAGAAAAATAACAATGACCATGATAACGTATCAATTGACCTTCGTAGTAAAAAGGGGATAGTAAATTTTATCAAATACTTATACGCTGATTGATTATACAAATTTTATCGACGAGCCTTGTTTCATTTGCAACGTACAAAAAATTACACATTTATTGGAACCGTTATAAATTGACTTATCGTTTTAATTAAATTTTACGAATTTATTTTATTAAACAATTTTACGAATTTATTTTATTAAACAATTTATCGAATTTATTTTATTAAACGATTTAATTCTAAATAATTATTCTTAATTGCCTGAGAAATATATTTAAGAAGAAAATTTTCGACAACTCACTTTATGTTAAATTATGTTTCTGTATCGATCAAACGCTATCTGAAATTGTTTCTATTTAATGAGATCGGATATTTTCCGGAACATCTGCGCTGTATATCAACTTTCGAAACATAAGAACAGAGCGTGATCACCGTTTAAGGTCTTCTTTACGTAACCATGACCCATTACTTCCATGCTGGGGGCACGTGAACCATATGGTTCGTGTGATCGATCATGCACGCGTTGACGATCAAACTATCAAGTTCGCGAAACTTAAACTTTGCACGCGCGAGCAGTTCTTCGCTATACTTGAATGGCTTCGTAGGAAACGAATTGTATACGTTACGCTTTCAAAGCGTTTTTAGTTTTACATTATTTAAATTAGATTAAGATTCACAAAAATATTAAATGAAACTAGATATACTTTATATTTGAAAATAAAATTAATTTTGCGACAAAAGTATTTTAAAATTAAGTTTTGATAATATTTAAAAATTATTATGAATATATATAATTGTAGCGCTACTTCATTTGTATCATGTATATATTTTTAAAGAATATTTGAGAATTACTTATATTAATCAACAGAGCAAAGTTTCAGATTTATGTATTTGTTTTCTGAATTGTAGTACAATAATTTTTAAGAAATTATTAGTAATCAAAATCGAAATGCTCCTTTTTATTAAATTTGCGATAGTGTAATAACAAATAATTCAGTAACAGTTTTTTTAGGCACCTGACAAAGCCACAAAGTGAAAGGAAAACTTTCCATTTTGTTTAGCTCATAATTTGCTATATGTAAAATTATCAAATTCACAAAAATTCAAAGGTCATAGTAATCTTTCGAAAATAGAGATTTTACGCTTTAAAACTTTTCCCTTTTTTTTTAAATTTAAATTTTGTTCGTTTTAGAGAAGTTAGGAGCTGCTTAAATTTTGAAATTTTACTTCGAAAAATAGCTTCTAAAAATTGATAAATTGTACACAAAATATCGAGTCGGAACAAAAATTTATAGCGCTATGAATTTTTTCTCATTCGAT